TACTAAACCTTTTAGAATCTGGGCCTAAATTGTACATGTATTCATATTATTTAAAAATAATTAATATCTAGTTCCAGTACAAGCATTCTAGCATAACAAATTTGATTAACGCATAAGACGAAATTTTTCTAGGTTATTGGGATATTTGATTTGATATGGTAAAGAGAAAAACAAGTCGTAGCCTTTTGGAAGTGAAAAGCTTTCCCTCCTAGCCTTCTGCTAGTTTTATTATTATTAGTAAAAGTAATCTTTTACTTATTTTTAGATGGACTTCTTGTGATAAGTAAAAGTTAACTCATATGGCTAACATTAAGGCAAAAATTACTTGCTTAAAAGGTGACCTCAACCACAAACTTTTCAACGCTATAATCTCTTTATGCAAATAAAATATATTTTTTTACGGCTAAAGAATATGAGTTTCTGGGTTCGAGTTCCGTGTAAAAGACTTATTGGATACAGCCTACAGGACATTCTTAGTTGTAGCCTAGAATTATAAAATTAGCCGTGCTAGATTTGCATACCATAGAGAAAACAATATAAAATCTTTAGTCTTATACGTAGTGTCGTGTCAAGTTGCAGATATTGAGACTACAACAGTGAGGGAATAAAGAAAATTCTTGTAGGCTTAATGCTTGACTCTACGAGTATAAACATCCTGTATGGATGGCAATTCTAAGTAGCCTTGTCTATTATGACAGTAATCAGTCTACATATTTTTCTTTAAATCTCTTTTTATGTAAGCATGATTACCTGATAGTAATCATGTATCAAAGTTAACATATAGTAAATGTCATTTTTTAATTTTATATAAGTGCAATGAATATGATAAAATTTAACAATCGAGACCGAGTCTTTCAATCTGCTTCAAAAATACCGCTGCTGCTAATATCACTGATACGAATGTGTGTTGAGATAATTTAATACTTGTAATTTTTCTTTGAAAAGAACATTCTAAGAAAATTTGTGTCAATTTAAGTAGTAATTTCCCTTAGTTATGTTCGTGGAATATGTCAAAGTAGTTTTTAATTAAAAAAATCTAATTAAAAGTAATACATGTAACATAGAAATCCCAGAGAAAAACGTTCAAGCCGAATTTCATACCCATATTAAGCCAACGACTTCATTAAATTATTTCTCTAATCCACAAGATTTGTTGGGTACGGCAACCTTATTATACCCGTAGCTTTACAAATGAACGGAGTTTCTAAAGAGAGATAAGTATGTCAGATAATGTTGGGGGATTGAACTTTTGGTCATTTGTTTGCTGGATCTTTAAGACTTTGAATAGCATCCATTTCATTTACAATTGTATGTGTTCAATCGCAAAAGCGTATTAAAATTATATATTTTTTTTATCTTAAACTCTTTAAAGAAAGCTAAAGTTGAAGTATCGATATATTATATTGTATAGACATATCAGTTACGTTGGCAGATTCGATTACTACACGGGACAAATGTGTTTGCCCAGACATGTACAGAAGAAAATGCATCTTCTAGCAAAAACACGTTATATTAAAGAATATTATGATTATAAGATTTTTTTTTATTAGATTTTATACAAAGGGAAGGATAAAATTCTAAGTATTTAAAAATAATATAAGTTATTCATTTGAATACGCAACCCCTTTACATGTTGGAATGAATGTAGTATGCGGGGAAAAAATAGTCCCGGGAAAGTCGTGTTGAATTATTCAGGTTACAAATCCTCAAAAGAGTTCATAATTTTACTGCTTATTTTATAAAATACTTGGCTTTGGTCTAGTATTAATTAATGTTTTAAATATTTTATTAAAATGGAGAATGGAGTAGTTTAGAAAAAAACTATACTAATATTACAAAGAGGTAAAGTTTGTGAGATCTACTAAACCGATTTAGATGAAATTTGGTAAGAAGATAGTTTGAGACCCGGGGAAGGACATAGGATACGTTTTATCCCTTAAGGGGGTGAGAATTGGGATGAAAGTTTGTATGGGGAATCAAGCTAGAGACGAACCTGAGCGAAGCGAGGATGAATCGCATATATATTAAATATAACCGTCTTGTTAGGTTTTTGTTATCAAGCTATATTCGTACCAAATTTTATAGACAGGGCGAAAGTTTTTTAATTATCAGTTTCGGGATCGTGCAAATAGTTATGAAGTTTCAAATTAAAATTATATTATAAACTTATTTCACTTTTAGGAGTAGGTTTTTTATTTAAAATTTATATGAGACTATAATATTTAAGGTACCTCATCCATTGAAAATAGATTTACTAATAGGAAAATATTAAGCAGCTTACAAACACGCAATCACATCCGAATGAAATTCGAACTTTTTTAAGTAACTTAAAAATTAAAGTTGTATTTTTTTAATTTAGACTAAGTATTACCACTAGAGTGAAAGTGACATGAAATCTATTAAGCTATTTTGAAATAATGCATGAGTATAGACATAAAATTACTACAGCTATTTACGATTAACTTTATGGATACCCAAAAATTTTTTGTTGGGTCACTAACTATACCGACCCTTCTCATCTCTTAGGGATTATTATAGAAATAAGCTGTCAAAATTGCAGCTAGGTCCAGGCGGGTCTGGTCCAGTCACTCTATACTTATTGATTTTAGCCCACTGTTTCTTTCGTTTATATTATAAATGACTGTAATTTGCCTGAGAAATTTTAACTATAAATTTATAGATCTTAATTATACTTTGATAGAATTCATCTGTTGATTCTAAAGTTGTAAAACGAGAAGAGCCATACGAAAGATACGTCTACCACACGATATTCGTCGTAGGTATTAAAAATATGCATGTTGGTAGCAATAAAACTTATTCAGTCTTGTCTTTGATACGCGACCTCTTAGAATATTTTATAACTAATGAACAGCAAAAAATTGGGTCAACCATTTTTATGGCACATGCCAATTACCATATACAAGCGCTCGTATTAGCTTTTCGCTTTAAAACCGGAAATAAGACACACTTAATTTAACTTTACTTTTTTTAAGTTTTAGCCTTTGGAAAGGAAATTACAAAAATTCTTATTATATATACAGAATTAATGTACATCAAATTATTACTGTACTAGCCGCTGACCGTTGCTTCGCTCGGGTTCGTCGCTAGGTACGTTTTAAATAGTTATAAACAGTTACTAGCCAGCGTTAGCCATATAAATTTTTTTTGTTAACAATATTGACAAACATTGACATTAATATTTATACGATACTAACTCAATTGTTTTGCCTTCCCGGGACCTCTCCACTAACACTTAAACTTTATGGTATGGTATTAAAGTTCAAATTGGCTTTTAAGTATTATTACGAATCTTTTGTATCGGAGTATAGAAAAGTGTTGTTTTTAGATTTTTCAGGCAATTTTTTAAATTTTTCTCTCCGTAAGAACCATCCTCGTACTTCAAGGAATATTCTAAAAAAAGAATTAGCGAAATCGGTTCAGCTGCTCTCAAGATTTGCGCTTACCAACACATTCAGCGATTCATTTTTATATTATAGACAAGTTATGTCTGCGTGGAATAGTGGCATTGCAATGCCGATTCTTTGGGCCAAAAATGGGCCAGCTCTCCTGTCAACAGTAGAGGCGATAAGATGAGGTGTTATGGCTTTGATAATGTAAATAATAATATAATTATTTATCAATTCGATTTATATCAATCCTTATACATCCTACTAATCCTACTAATATTATAAACGCGAATGTTTGTTAGCATGTATGGATGTATGTTTGTTACTCTTTCACGTAAAACTACTGAACGGATTTTGATGAAAGCTTACGGTCTTACGGCTTATGCAATAGGCGATAATATAGTAATACAATAATGTACTGCGCGGAGCCGCGTAAAAACACTATTAAAATACAATTCATTCAATTATCTTGTTAATGGCTTCAAAGCATGTCAGTTGAACACAGATTAATTCGACAATGTTACTATTAAAATACAGGCCATATTTGGCTTTTTATTTGATATCACATATAATTTGATAACATATAATTTGAGTCTATATGTTTGAATTTAAGAGGTACATTTACATATATTTTTTACTTCTTTTGTTTATATTGGATCTCTAAGATAGTTATTTGTAAGGCAGCTAAAAGAGTCACGTACCTATATTCTGAAGCAGGTACAGCGATTACTTGTTAGGTCACGGAACAGTCACTTATCTTAGCGACTGCTGCTCGCGATGTTGTTTGACTTTATGATCCGATATATAGCCATTTTTTTGCGAAGTTTGACTACGTTGTTTGAAAATATAAACATTGCTTGAACTAAGGAAAATTATAAGAAGTCCCGCAGTTCGGCGTGCCTTTTAATGTCTCTATTATAATGTTTTTTCTCTCTCTCTGTTGTTCTCTGACTTCTACAACTGTGGTCTAGTATGACTCTAGGGTTAAGAGGATATCGTCTTCTGATCTTGATTTGGAAGCCCCTTTCTTCAAGGCCTGTTTTTTAGATACCATAGGATAACTTGTTTGCTCTATTTATTGCTATAGTTATGTGCACTTATATGCCCTGCACCTTATAATCGAATTAATTTCCATCAAAACCGAATTGTCAAACATGTACCTATTGAAGTAGTACATATATATTGATGATAGAAGAAAACTATAAAGATGCCTTACGACGACCTTGCTTTCTAGGTTGTATTCTTGAAGTCTACAAGATTGTATTAAAATGACGTCGATGAGTTATATTTAGCTTACATAAAAGATAATTACTAATTAGGTATGTACGATATAATATTTGATAATTCATATTAATTTTGTTCATAAAATTACTAGAAATGACTTTTATGTATGTTTATGGAGTCAATGATGTTTGGTTTTAATTTCAATAAATTTTTACTAAGCCTTCTTTTAAACTTATTTTAATTGAGTATAAAACTTGTTCCTTATTTATCGTTTAACATCATTTTTGTTTCTTTAAATTGAAATATGAAATGGTGGCATACATTATTTTAAGTGCAGTAACATATTTAAACATATTAATTTCTTTCCAGAAATTGTAGAAGAACAGCGATGTCACAACTTCGAGTTCCGACTGACCTGTCGAGAGCTCGACACTCATATCGCAGTTCTAGAAGCATGGTACACCTCCACCGACGACTACCATCGTACCTCGAACGAAACTCCAACTCACGCCAAACTGATACACAACGAAAACGATTCAGAACTCGATCGCGTATACGTTTATTCTAGTCCAAAACACAACGGCGTGTATGAGTTAACCAATCATTCCAGTTTTGAAAATGCTTCCTTACAAACACAAAACGTGAACAGTTCCTTTGATTTTTATAAGTTATTAAATGAAAGTTGGTCAAATGATACGTTGGATTTTGATAATGTGGACATGACAGTGGATTTTGTGAACGCGAGTGAAGAGTGTGGTGTAGTTACGTACGCTCGTAGTTACGGGAGTTGGCATGAAGGGGACAAACGTCGGCGACCTGTATCCAGAAGCTCGTCCATTAATTTGCGAGCACCTTTAAGTTATCGGTGAGTTTTTTATATCTCATTAAAATATTTAATTAAATCTTAGAAGAAACATTTTTTTTTGTTAATTGTGGGTAGGCTGTCTGTATCAACTATACCTTCGAGACATGTAACACCTCAATCTCTTCCGTGGCCATGAATGCTGTAAAGCATTCGAAACGTCGGGAAACAAAAATCAAAATAAATCCGTGAAATAATCCGAAAAGATAGTATTATTTAAAATGTCAAATATTCGCTTAAATCTAAGAAAGTATTATGAGAAACAAGAATTTTATATTTTTTATGACAATTTTAGTGGTCTTATCAAATTATTTAGTTAATTTGATATTTAACACGATAACCTTAACTTTATTACAATCTTAAATCATCTACAAGTCAATAATTTTGTAACGGTCTTTACTTGTAACGGTGAACTCTGTAGAAAGTATATAAAAAACTACAAATTGGTCGAGGCTAGATTGATCGTGGATTACTACACATTAAAACATGTTTTTGCTCTAGTTATTGAATACTAGTGGTCGTGGTCGAAAATCGACCATAATTCATTAAGCTTTAACGCTAAGGTCATATGAATCTTTTTTAAATAAATCGATAATACTAATATTAAAAAGATTAGATTTTTTGTATGTTTGTTTGTACTGAATAGGCTCCGAAACTGCTAGACCTATTTAGACAAAATTTGACAAGATAATAGTTTAAGACCCTGGAAATAACATAGTATAGTTTTTTCCCGGGAATCAATCATCCCTTATGGGGGTGAAAATGGGGATGAAATTTTATATAGGGAATCAATTTAGGGACGAACCAGAGCGAAGCGAGGGTTAGTCGCTAATATCTTATAAAATGCAGAAAGGTTTTTTAAATCCGAGCCGCAGTTCCAGAAATAAGGACTTTCAGAGAAATAAACTAGGTATCTCTTCAGCCGTACACCTATTACTTAGTATAAAATTGATAAAGTTATATCTAACGTGACACTGAAGCTTTTAAGTGCGGAGTAATTATACATAAAACAATTAAGCGAGTGGAGCCGACGGCCAAAACATGTCCATAAATTTTACCTTTCTACACTATCTTTCCCCATATAAACTTTAACCTAAGCTCACTTTAACTTGCACCAAAGCTCACATTCCTACGCGCAATATGCTTAGTAAAAAAACAATATTTTCTCTTCAAGTATTAATTTATATATAGATTATTTAAAGTTCAGCCAAAAATAATAACAGCTGCTTGCAATGTAAAGACATTTAAAAAAAAATAGAACTTTGATTTATACTAAGTCTTAAAAGCCGTAATTAGTAGAGTTTGGTTGAAACAAGCGTGAGTAACGTCCAATTTGCGTCGTTAGTGGTCAAACATTTTTGTAACGGTTCATCCGGCCTTTTAAATGCCTTTGCTTTAGTATTCCGTTCCAAATGAAACTAGGCTAATTGAGTTACATTCGATTCGATTAAATTGTTACTATGTCCGAATATAATATGGTGATCTGCTTTACGTGCATAGGGATATATTTATTGTATCAGCGTTATTTAAAACCGTATTCATTTAAAATGAGATGCGAGAATATATAATTAAAATAATGATGATTAATGAAAATGATCTAATCACAGCTCGCTTCCATACCATATCATATGTCAGTCAAAATAGAAACAGCTTTGAACATTACGTCTTAGTTCTTGCAGGATAAACGTAGGTAAGGTATTATATATATTATTAGCATTGACGCGGCTCCCCCCGCGTTCACGTCAAAAATCAAAATTCTGAGGTTTTACATATTAGTATAATCTTACATTGCAGTTTTTGTGTTTTTCTCAGAAATGAGACATTTTCCTGCGGTAAAAAGTATCCTATATATTGATTTGGATCACAGCGTTCACCATACGAAATTTCATCAAAATCCCTCCAGTGGTTTTTCTGTGATGCGGTAACAGACAGACCGACAGAAAAAAATCTAAAAACCATAGATTCGGCATCTGTATCGATATTAATGTTTATTTCAATAAGATTTTCTAAAAAATATTTAATGTATAGATTCGGCTTAGTTACAATTTTATTATATGTATAGATAAACATCATAGGCTGATTTGGCAGTTTAATTGTTTCGTTTTTCTAGTGGGTTCGAGTCCTAAGTTAGGTTAAATATAGTTATGGAGTTTTTCTGCTAAGAAATTTCAATAGTAGCCTGGAGTTGGGAATTTGTCGAAGTTACACCTGAATGCCTCTTTAAATAGAGAATGCTACTATGTTTGTGCACACACTTGTCCTCTATAACATCTCCTGTATATATATGGCTTGGTCGCTAAAGGCTATACCGTAGCCAAAAGTGGACAGGAGATCATTACATGCCAGCATTAATATTTCTTTTCCTATGCGTACTTTAGAAATAGCCCAGAAGTTCAAATGTAACACGTTTTATAACTAATAATAGCATCATCAATAAAATACACATCTACTATAATTTATAAATTTTGTTAGTATTTAATAATGCAAGGCATTAATCATTCCATCCATGTACTTATTGAAATGGTCCAAAAATAAAGTACAGTACAAATATGATATAATTAATATAAATGTACTCAGCCCTTTTTAACGTTCAATTGCTGGCCACGGGCCTTCCTTCAATACGAGGGGGATCAGGTCATAGTCCACCACGCTGGCCAAGTGCGGGTTGGCGGACTTCACATGTCTATCGAAAACTTGCTAGGTTCTCTCAGACTGATGATGATTTCCTCACAATGTTTTTCTTCACCGTAAGGCAAGGGGTAATCATGTTAGAAATGATGATGAATTAATATAAATAGCAACACTAAAAACATACAAGCCCACACTTCATCACCACGAAAGGGAAATCGACGGCTAGCATATCGCATATAACAGTAACCGCTTGCGTAATATCTACTTACCTATTGTCTGGTCACTGTTTTACCGGATCCGATAGTCTCAAGAGGTAGAGTCCATATATGATACTAATACAGGAAGAAATAAAAATTCCCATCACATATACATTGTGACGAACTATTGCATATAACTTGAATAAATATTATGTAAGCATTGTTTCGTTAAAATTGAAGTAAATGGACATAAAATGATTAAATCATATTTTCGAAAGATATGTGAATTCAGCCAACTTGTACTTGACCAGCGTGGTGGATGGCCTGATCCCCCTCGTTTTGAAGGGATGCCCGTACCCAGCCGTAGGTTGTTAAAAGGGCTGAATACAAATCATATTTTAAACAATACAACCTCATAAAGATATTTAGATTTGTGTGTTAGAGCTGTTTTTTTATCTAATTATGAGGAGATAGATAGAGATTTAGTCTCTACATATAAGCGTCAGTTGGAAATGCAAAGTAAAGCACACGTATGACGACACGTTTGGCTCAGTTTGTAGTGACCCTGCTTATTGTACCAGCGGTCGCGGGTTCAAGTCTCGCTGAGGGCATTCATTTGTGGATGAGCACGAATGTTTGTACTCCAGTCATGGGTGTTTATATTTATAATATGTATGTATTTAAAGTTATATATATGTAGTGTATCAACTATCTGGTATCCATAACACAAGCCTCGTAGCCTACAATAGAACTAGATGGTGCTGTGTATGAATGTCCCAACATATTTATATTTATAAGCATTTTTAGTAAATATAATTGCCCTGAAATAACCGCAACCTATACAGCAACCAGCCATACATACCCATTACCCATGGAACCATGACATGTTATTTTGTTTACACAAAAATTAATAGGTATAAAATGACAGACGTATTTGAAATTAAAGCTCTAAAAGAATTATTATACAAGAAAAATAAAACATGTACGATTACGAGTAATAACAGTGCAAATGTTAATTGGATATATTGTAATAAATAATCGGGAAACCATAGCAGACTTTTATTTACATTACAATACTGTATTTTATAAAAAAGAGCTTTTCAATGATTAAGTGATCATAAATCTATACATATAATAAAATATACATATAATATAATAACTAAGCCGGCTTATCTCTGCTAAAATTTTACACTTGGCCACTGATGTGAATATTATATATAAGTACCTTTTGAATGAATTTTATACCTTTAGTACAATTTTATATTACAATACGATGATTTCCGATGAGTTCAATCTATCTAGAACAATGAACAGCAAATAATATTTTCTTTTAAACTATTTTTTTAATTCATACTACAATATAAATTATGTACTAAACAAAAGCAACGTACTTGTTGAAAATTGTGTATATTGAAATATATTCATTATGCGCTGACCTTACCGTGTAATCAGTGTATACTTAATGTAACCGAATTGTTATGTGAGCCAAAGGTTATCAAGATATTTGGGGCGAATGATAAATAAGATGCCATTCTTTAGTGTTTGTTATTATGTATGACGTTATAGTATTATTACGATTTTAATGTGTTACTTCCGTTTGTACAAATTAAAAGAAATGACTAATTATTGTTGTTTATCTATACATATAATAAAACTAGCGACGCACCTCCGCTCCGCTCGGGCTCGTCCCTAGGTGATGCTTTAGATTGACGTAACTTTTTTATTTATGAACCGATTGAAATATAACAAATATTAAATGTAAGTGAAGCTTGCCATAACATACTTGTGAAAACCGCATCCAAATTGGTAAACCTGTTTCTGAGACAACACACGGACAAACAGCTAAACAGACAAGAATTCTAAAAATCATTGTTTTGGGTTCTGTTGCTTAAATAAAGACCAATGATGGTTTTTCTCAAATATCTTCCATCTACAGACAGCGATCAGTTACAATTTTATTATATGTATAGATGTTTAGGAAACATCAAACTTCATATTTGCTAGGCATAGACAACGTTGACGTTTGTTACACATATTCATAACATTAAAAAACCCTCGCGTCTTCTCCATACTACGTAATAAGAAAATTAAATTGAATTCATATTTAAAAAAGAAGGCCTTGGTCTGTCAGCCTAGCCGACTAAATGAAATACATTAAACTATTAAAGTATCAATA